AAATTGGGATCAACGAAGTAAAAGACATCAAAATCACCACTTAAAATATTAGGTTATGTTGTATTGCGTATTTGTGTTTACATTTTGACTGGTAAATTGGGATCAACGAAGTAAAAGACATCAAAATCACCACTTAAAATATTAGGTTATGTTGTATTGCGTATTTGTGTTTACATTTTGACTGGTAAATTGGGATCAACGAAGTAAAAGACATCAAAATCACCACTTAAAATATTAGGTTATGTTGTATTGCGTATATAAAACAAAAAGTTTAACACTTGATCTTGTGTTAACTGGAAAAATAATGTGCAGAAGACCTTTCGTGCTAATAAATTAAATTAAAGATGCGATTACATTTAAATATCGTTTAATTTTTAGGAATTAGTTTGTCTCTGTAATGAGTGTTTCACGGAAAGTGAAAAAAAAAATCAGAACAAGCTGAAATGGGAATAAACAGCGAGTGAGACGAAATTCAGTCTCCAACAATTAACAGCCGAAAAAATAGGGTCAACGTAACCTGATGTATAATCAACCAGAAATATTTGGGTCAGAGCGTCTGGCTGGATGTCTACTTCTCACTGGTTACAATTGCTTATGGTAAATCAAAACCGAAGTTGGACCAAATCTCCTAGTGGAAATCTTGCAAACAAATTTTAATTTTCGTATCATTGTTTTGACTTATAATAAATTTGAGTTATTTGTTCGCATCTTCTCCACTGTGTGGTTTAAGTTGTTTTATATAACACCAGGTTCAAACGTTTTTACCTTTTCTCAGTGGTTCATGAATAATAATAAAAAAAAAGGCTCGATCGTTTTATGCCCAGCTATGGAAGCTTTCAATAATCTATTGGAAGTTTCTTTTTTAATTTCTTTTAGCACGTATTTAACTTTGAAAAACGTACAAGACACTATAAGCTAAAGTTTCCCAAACTTTAGCGTATTTTCTGCCAATATCACGACCCTCCCTCTCCAGTCCACTATTAGTAGTTCATTGGTAATAAAAAAAAGGCTCAATTCCAAGGGACATTTTTATTTTCATGCCCAGCTAAAGAAGTATGTTTGCTTGTTTTTAATTAAGCACAAAGCTACACAATGGGCTATCTATGCTCTGCCCACCCCAGGTATCGAAACCCGGTTTCTAGCGTTGTAAGTTCGCAGACATACCGCTGTGCCACTGGAGGGCACTATAAAAAGCTTCCAATAATTTATTGGAAGTGTCTATTTTAACTTCAGTTTTTCAGGCAACTTACATGAGAAATGTGTATGTCTCATATGAGAATCAGTTCTGTATTATCATATGTTGTTGCACAGTATGCATAAGTTTCTTATAGCATTCAGATGTTGTTGTATTTTTGTTTACGTGTTCTGTAGTGTAGGAATTAAAAAATCTTATTTCTACTCCAGATTGATGGTCGCCTTTCTCTTCATCGACATTTGTCAAAACTTGGTTTGAAACTGCTGTTTGACTCAAAGTATGCAGATCTCAGTGGAATTAGTTCCCAAAATTCTTTGTTTGTAAAGGAAGTGGTTCAGAGTGCTCGGCTGGAAGTGGACGAGGAAGGAGCAGAAGCGGCTGCTGCTACAGAATTCGTGGCAGCAGGGAGGTCGTTGGTATATGATCAGCTTCCGGTGTTTTGTGCTAATCACCCTTTTTTATTTTTCCTGCGAGATTTAGAAACCAACATAATTCTTTTAATGGGCCAGTACACTGACCCTCGTATTTTGGAGAAGAAAACATAAACAACAACAACAAGAAGAAACATTACTTTAAAAAAATGCATATTGTCACTAAGCATTATAATACGAAACACACAAACCCGGTTAAGAGAATGAAATGTCGTCCAAATGAAAAATTGAGATAAACTTCGAAAAATCAAATATACGCATTTCTTTAATATTAATTCCATTTCTTGAAAGCGTTAATTGAAGATGAGGTTTAATTAGTGTTTTATTTCTTCGTAAGACTTTTAACACTTAATAAAAGTTCCAGATGCCATTTTGATGCTAATTTTTTAAAGTAATTAAAAGTTATGGTGAAAAAATAACATTAGATATTCGAATGACTTTCTTTTAGCACGTATTTAACCTATGAAAATTTATAAGACACTAAAAGCTAAGGCTTCCTAAACTTTTGTATATTACCTCCTATTTTTGGCAAATCTTACGACCGCCCCCCCCCCCATCAACTCCACTATTTATATTATGTTATATTTATAAAAACAGATACATAAATATTAACATTTAACTATTAATGGGAGAGACACATCTGCTTGAGTCCCCTGGTGGCTCAGCAGTAAACTTGAGTGCTTACAACACTAGAATTCAGAGTTTGATCTCTTCGGTGGACGTAGCAGATAACCCCTTGTGTGCGCGAAACAATTCTGAAGAGATGTTTGTAAACGTCATCATGTAAGTACAGCCTACAAAAGTTTGACATATTTTTGTTCCGTAAGTACTAGAAATTCATAAAAGAACTTGATATGCAATTGAGAAAATTACTTTTACTGACTCTTGGCCCCCTAGTGGCACGGCAGCATGTCGGCATGACTTACAACGCTAGAATCCGGGTTTCGATACCTGTGATGGGCGGAGCACAGATAGCCCATTGTGTAGCATTGTGCTTAATTACAAACAAACAAACAAACTGACTCTTGAACGTAAAACTATATCACCTCCAGATATGCCGAAAATAAAGTCATAGGGGAAAAAAAGTCACAGTTTCTTAATACCCAAGCACAGTGTGAAGTCATACAACAAAACCATTTTTATGTTAGTTATTTATTGCAATAATAGCATGATACATGACATGTAACATTATATGAAAAGAGGCATATATGAATGTTAAGTCAATAGTTTAACTTTTGTGAACTTAAACAATTATAAACGTAAATTAAAATATTGTGACTTTTTTATACATTCCAGACACACAAATACACAAAAACAAATATTAGTAAATGTTTTAATATAGAGGATATCAACCAGTAGGATGTAAGGAGGACATGTCAAACTTTCTGAGGGGGAAGGGGGAGGCGGAGTAGAGTTCATGTAATGTGGTACTATAACTACAAAAACTGCAAACTCGGA